TGGCAAGGTGCACGATCGTCCGATCACCCTTCCACTTTCACAATATATATGGCATACATGGAGTGTTTGGGTAAGAGTGCTACAAAAACGAGGTGTTAGTTGAATATGATGTTCAATGGCTTGGCTGGTTTTGCGGATCACGTGACTTTGTAGATAGATTCTCCTCGTGGGTAAATCCCCAAACCTGGTGAATATACCTGGAACTTCCTCAGAGTACTTTTGATCTGCGGCGTTAAAAAACATTGTTTGGTGTCACAGCCTTTTGTTCTTGAGTCATTTTGAGTCTGCGGATATAGTATTTTCCACTGGCGGTTAGACACAAGCTACGCGCGGGTGAGCCATGGGTCTTTTTCCCGAACGTGTTTTTTCAGCGGATGTCTATTTTGGTTGCGGATGTTTATGTGGTTCACATACCTAAATAAATTGGGTATGTTGAACTACCGACCCCAAAAAGGCAACCATGAGGTTGCAGGTATGTAAGTCCCGGCTTCCTGGACGGCAAATCCAAGTTTAATCGAAACAAGGCTATAGGAAAATTAATCGAAACAAGGCAGCCATTTGGACCGTGCGGAATCAGCAACCCATCCGGAATCGCATGTTTTTTGGTCGCTTTTTTCGCGATGTTTTTGTAACGTAAGACCACATAAGCACAGCTCATGTGGAATTGATTCAGGAAGATTCCACTGCCATGAGATAGTTTTTTGGGAGCTCGAAAGAATTGTGAGTTGAAGTGGAAGATAGGGTTGAAACTCTTCAGCTTATCCAAAGGCATGAACTTTTCTTGAGAGTCTTGTGTTTTGCTGCACCCTGGCCTGCCTCTCGAGCTCGCTACCCGTTAAAGAATGAGGGTGTCCACTTCACCGTTGCCCTCTACACTGAGTCAACCGCCGGAAGGGGTAAAGTAAACCAAAGATACAGAACAACATTGACAAAGATTCGGGTTGAAATGAGACCTGGAAGAATCAGGCCCATTCACCATGGCCAAAGCGGCCAACGCAAGAGCATACCAGACCCGAACAGGATAAGTCAGACGAACGCCGCCAACGAAACCGGACAAGAAATCACAAAAAAAGTCCTGAAGCCGGCAAATCCTCTTGTAAGATCTTGTAAGGATAGAACTTTTCTTGAGAGTCTTCTCAAATGGGACTTCCATGACGTTCAGCACCTATTCTCGTTCGTCCGACGAATCAAACAGGTCAGACTTCTAGGCGTCCTCATATTTTCCCGAAGCCATACCCCTAGAAGTCCAGTTCAACGACATTTTGCTCACTGAATCGTAAGTATTTACCATTATGTACCCAAACGTTCATGGACCCTCCTAAGTAGGGGCCGTACCCGAATTCTCTGGAGGAGTCATGACCCGAACCAATCCCTATGATTTTGAGGGACCAAGGACCGTTGGGAGCGTTTGGGCAATTACAATAAACAAAATTATTAAGGAAGCTCCTTTTCGGGTGGCCGAACATAACAAAAAATGGTCTTCAGTCTTTGAATGTCTTTGACTTCGGAGAGGACCCCTGGGTTTGGAAAAGATCCGATGTGACCGGACGATGCTCCGTGAGTCCCTCAAAACCGGTGAGAAATCCCGGACCCCGGACCCCCTGAGGATTCGGCTCCAGGGTATCGCGTCTGGGAAAAATAGAGGTAAATTTAGGACACTCGTCCGGGCAACTCCAAACCAAACCTCCTGGCACCTACCAGGGCCCCCTAAGGGGTGGTTAGTGGATACCCCTTAACCTCTAAGGAGATATAATTAGACACTCCTTAGGGGGCCCTGGTATACATAACAGTGTCTCCAATCACCTTCTGAGAAGTTACCTGGACCCGGCCTCATCATCCCTCATCCTTTGTGCTTTCCTCTTCGCTAGGCACTACCCTCACGTCCGGCCTTACAGGGCGCCCTGTGCGCGGTCAGCCGCTTGGCGCAGAACCGGAACACTCAAACACTCTATGGGGTGGCTGAAAAGGGGTCAATGTCACGAAAGCTAGCATGCTAGCTGAGTTCTTCTTTGCTTTAGCAATTGGTAGTGGGATGAGCTGTGTGCCTTAAAGCGATATATCACGCTAACCACCCCCCCCGGTTCGACTGCCAGATAGCGGGGGTTGGTTGAACGTGTGAACGTGGTTGGTTGGGTGTAAACGGTGGCTTGGTGTAAACGGTGCTGCTGCTGCCGCTTTGCTGCTTGCTGCTGCCGCTGGTTGCCGCTTTTGTTGCTGCTGCTTTGCTAGCTGTTATGGTGGGCTCAGTGCAAACGAGCGTCAGAGCCGATCCCACTTGAAGTCATGCCACAGGCCGCGAATAGGAGGGCGCATACTTGTGTGCCGCCTTGCACGGCATGCAACGCCACAGTGAACGTGATGCATCCACCGCTTTCGCACTCGCTTCGTGCTCGGATCATTCGTTCGATAGGTTGCCGTACTGTGCTCCTTTCGTTCGCCTGCTCCACCAACACCACGGGGACAAAGTGTTCCGACACCCCTCGTGCTATCCCCTCGTGCTAGGAGGGTAGGGTAATAAATACACTCTATTGCATATCTTGCGGCTGGGTCCGAGAAGTGCTGCACGAAGCAGTGCTGCAATCCCATTGCTTTGGGAAGCAGACGGCACCTATTTTAACAGCAAGGCCATGGAGCTACTCCGAAGCTCCGCAGCGACTGCGCCGCTGTGTGGCCGATTGTTTCTGCAAGGAAAGGTTTGTTGATGCGCGGTTTAGGCATGTGCGGACGATGCGCGCCAGAGGCCACTGCGCGCCGCCTTGCAAAGGAAGGACATGGCCCTTGCCACAGCCTTGGCCCATGCTGTTCCGCGCGCAGCTGTGGCCAGAGAGGGTGGCAGACAGCAGCTTGCCAGACGGCAGCTTCGAAACCTACTAAGAAGGAATCGGCAGGGCCATGATTCGAGGCCAGAGGCCAGGAAGGCGGTTTTTGCCACAGCCTTGGCCAATGTCGGCGGATATAGGCTATTCCATACCGGGACCTTCCAACAGATGGTTTTTGGACACCCCAAATCCTCTAAGAACTATCCAGAAACCTCTTGGAGGGTGCTGGTACATAGAGAGATGAAATTGTCCTCTCCAAATCCGGGCGCGATGCGCTGTGCCGGCAGCCTGATGCGGTGAGAAGTCTAGTCGAGTCTAATCGAGTGGTCGAGATCTCGGTGAAGACTTCTTCACACCTTCTCCCTACAGGTCAAAGATGGTCACTTGGACCTCATCTTACAGAAGTTGATCATACAAAAGCAATACTCAACTAGGTAGAAAAAAAAGACCTGGTTTGAAACTGGGTGTTCGAGTCTGGGTCTGGAGTTCCTCATACCAAACCAAAGTTTTCAGGACTTGGTCCACCTGATTTGAACCGACGGGTCAGGTCCTGGACGTACGCAGGGACAGGATCACCTGCCCTGGCGAACTTTCCACAGACCCTCTGCGAGGGTGAGCAAGGAGATATAGCCCTATAGGAGGGTCCACTGGTACCAACCATCCCATACCTTAAGGATCCAAGTACCTTCTCAGAAGGTACCTTTTGGACCTTCCAAACCTACATAACGGTGTCTCCAATGGTATGTACCGAAGAATGGCCCAGAAGGTATCCTGCAAGGATTCCACACGATAAAAGCAAGTCCATCATTTTTAGAAGTGTTTTGGGCCCTGGACTTCCGCCGAGCCAGCTGCTTGGACTGTCAGCAGCTGCTCAGGCAGCCGCCAGAAGCTCTACATTTTTGGTGGTTCCAGAAGGGAACCCGCCTCCGTGGCCTCTTGGCCTCCAGGTGTTCTTTGTGTTGGACTTTGCCTATCCCTAGCGTTCCAAGTACCTTCTGCCCTTTCTCAGAAGCTACCTGGACACTCCATGGACACTCCAAACCCACACAACAGTGTCGAACAGTTCTCACCTGAGACGGTACTTGGATCCGTAGGATTCCTGACGGCCCTGTCGACTAGTAACACCCACGGCCCATAGAACTCGTTTCTTCATCGTCGGGTGAGGAGTCAAAGAGTCGAACGACTGGGAAGTCACCCCGGCGCCAGGAATATGGGACCCCAAACAAACACTTGGTTTTGCTTAAGGTGTTTTTTGTATTTTCCCTATTGGTAAGTCAATGTACAATCTGTTTTTTGGAAATATGTTTGTTTCCAGGTACCTTGAGCAAATCCAAGGAAACATGCGAAGAAACCATAGATTGTATCTGGACTCTCTTGAGACGCCTCGTGCCGCAACAGCAAGGGTGGACGCAAGGACATAGGTATAAAAGTTTTGGACATCCATCTGGACCGATGTTGGTCGTATCTGCACAAAAATGGCACATGGCGAGGCCCTTTTAAACATCGGCTGTTGCAGGCACCAGGCACCGGGTCGAGGTCGCCCGCATCGGGTTGGGTGGATGACTGCATGGCCTGGGGAAAGTTCGGAGTCCGGAAGGAGTGGGACACGACACAGCTAGAGCTTGGCAGAACCACCAAGAGTCAAGAGCTTGTACAACCTCAGGTCGAGCTGAGATCAGTTCGACTGAATCCTTCGAGTCCACGTTTGACCCTGCCAGAGTCTCCATGTATGACATATTTGCATAAATTGGGGTGGTTTCAGAGGTCAATGTATATATGGAGCGTTTGGGCCTGATACTCTAACGGACACTGCAGAACACTGCATGCAGCATCGAGCTGAGAGGGGACAGGGGAGGAGTTTGAACGCCGATCCACGCCTGGTGGACGCTGCAGCTTGGGGTTACCACACATGGCATGTCGGAATTAGTTGAAACATGTGGGAGCGTGGAGCGGCAAATTTACCTGGACCCTGCAAGTACCTCTGAAAATGGGATACTAAGCAATGTTTAAAAGGGCGCTTGACGCGACTGGACCCGCCCAAGGATTCTTAGGACTTTGTGCGATATTTTATTTGGGGTTTGTCTCATGACATGTAGATCTGCTCAACAAGGACCATCACTATTTTTGAAACTAAGGACATAACCTGCTGGTGCAGGCCCCACCATCCACTGGGCCCAGTGAACGGGATATGCCCAAAGGATATTGGAATCATACGCCGCAGATGCTGTTATAGAACTCAGTGATAGAAGCCGATCGACGGTCATTCTCACGCATATTGCTTAGGGCTACAAGGGTTTTCTCAACACCCTCAGTGAGGTAGCAGTCCTCCATCGTCCTACAAAAGTCGAAAAGATAACCATTTGCTTATAGTAAAATCATGTAACATCCATACATGCGTTTCTTTGGCACCTGCTGCAGATTCCAAAGTCAGACCCTACTCTTTCTGTACTCGATATGTGGAGTGAGTGATTAGGATGTATCCCAAACAATCCCTGATAATCCATGTATGAAATATTTGCCTACATTGGGTGTGGTTTTAACATGTTTTGATATCAGTCAATGTAGGTAAATATTCCATACATGGAGTGATTGGGATATGAGTGGACATGATCTTCGCCTCCGCGTCCTCCGCCCCCCTTCTTCTTCGCTCAGGAAACAGAATGCTTCGACGAGAACGGCATCCAGCCAGCCACCCAGCCGTTTTGGGCTAAGCATCCGGAGTGGTTGCTTTGCATGGATGAACCTCCCCATTTTACCAGGCTCTCCCCTCCCTGCACCTAATAATCTGGACCCTCCATGGACGCAAGAGTCGAGGGCCCGAACCGAACGCGATCTGTTGCTTCGGGCCCGGATTCTTAGGGTGCAATCATCATGGATACTGGATTGCATGGCCCATATTCTTCTACAGACAGGTCCACTTCCAAGATTAAGCCCCGAGTTCGGAAGACCATGAGTTTTCCAAATTACGATACAGGTGGTTTTATCACTCCCCGGGCCCCCATTGTTAGTCACAAAAAATCCATGTAAATACCCAAACGCTCCATGGTGGTGCAAAGCTTTGGCCGACATTCACTACCCTCAAGAAGTCACCCGTCTTTTTGGGCAAAGCATGTGGTGCCTCCCATGGAGCGCTGTGATGCCGCATCTTGTGGACCCCACTACCGGTCTACTCGTCGTACGAGAGTAGCCGGTTGGGCTGCCGAGAATGTGTTCCGAGTGCACCGAAGAAACTGGTTGGTTCCCTTGGTACCCAGCTTCTGTCTTAAATCGAGGTACTTGTGATGAAAACACCGCGCACATTGGTCTAGTTAGAGTGTTCCTTTCTCTTTGTTGGCTGAGACTTTTTTTATCAGGTCATCCGCGTGTCAGGATGACATGAGTATATTTGATATAGTAGTGAGTCGAGTGAGTGCTGGCCCCGAATGAGAACATCGACCTTGAAGGGAACAGTTGCATCAGAACCAGATTTTACAGACTTATACAGCCTCTCTCTATACACACACACATAAGATTACAAAAGCAGATCTATCGAAGCTTACACTTACAGTAGTGTTGTTTCCTTTATGTAGACAATATATAGAGTTTTGGCAGAAGCAAACCCTTCCCTTAGTGCTGACGCGATCATGCATCCTTTGAATGAACACGCTAACCAACATGTGTAATGTTTCTGGACCAATTTTGCAAAACGGTTGTGCCAAACTTTGCGCTTGAAATATAAATCTGAAGTCCAAACCAGCTGTACCATCTACCAAACTCGTGGTTGTTTGGATGTCAAGTGGCCCAAACTGTGGTTGTTGCCCACCCGACAGGATTGGGGTAGCTAAATCTTAGAGGAGGCAACCCCAACCTTTCGTGACCTTTGCTGCCCCAGGGCATTAGCCAGTACCTGGCCAGTTCAATGACAAAAAGGACAACAGACAACAAACTACTCATGGACAAGACACAAATCAGAACACCAAACATATATAATACAAAAACAACACGAAAAGCTTGGAAATAACTTATGAGACAGACAACACACCATCAATGAAACGACACACAACGAAACGACATGACATGACCAAACCCTCAGAACACCACAACATCGTCATAATTGGGCGTTTATATGGGGTTGGATGTGGGTCGTTCCACTTCACCTTCAATATGTTCCTAGTAGCGTCCTTCCTAGTAGTAAGGCCAGGAGCCCCTAGTAGCGTCCTTGCTCCTAGTAGCGATGCCAGGAGCCCCTAGTAGGTTTTTTCTCAGAGTTTGCATGAAACGCCTTGTGACGTTTGTGACGTGAGCTTCGCGAAGCCAAATACACCAGTCTACCCAGCCAGGGGTCTCCGGGGTCTCCCTATTAAAGGACACATCAGCTTCCATGTAGCTTCCTGGCGGTCTGAAGATCCATCAGTGTTCCATTGGTTGACCCTGGAGGGTTTTGGTATGCTACTTCTTGGTGGTTTTAGGATTCTTTCCCTGGTGTCCAACAGTTACCACGAGGAAATACTACTGATTTTTGAAGGGTCAGAAGGGTCAGAGTCAGGTACAAAAGCTCAAGGTCAGTCACATTTGCCTGGAACACGACACAAAATCCCCGACCCTACAACATGTACATACATGTACTTGTACACAATTAGTGGGTACGAATTGGGAATTCAGGTAGGTGGAGTAACTATTTGGGTCAGTTGGGGGCCATCGCTAGTAGGTTGGAGGAAAGGCTCGCCGTTGCTGTTGTTGTCGAGGTCCTTGGGGCCACCGAGCAGCTTTCTCCCGCGCCGCTGCTTCGCTGTGGCGCTGTGCCGCGGTGCTGTCGCGTCGCGAGTTCCGACAAACATACCCTAGGCCCTAGCCTTCCGATCGAGCTTTAAAGGAAAGGTTGACCTGGTGTCGGTCTAAAGCCATCTCAAGCATTCTAAAAAAAAAAAAAACTAGTAAAGGCAATGAGTTGTTCAGTAAGGAACCATTCAAATCAACGGTGGTTGCAATTCTAGGGCGATCCCTCATAGTCGGAGACCGGATCAGAAGGTACCACGTTTCGTTCATGGTGAGATGCAGGTAAGGGCCGGTACGGGTTGAAGAGAGCGGATTTAAGATTTTGATTTGAGAAGTCGTTTGCATGTTTTGAGTATACTTTTTGTTGACTCTTTAGTGTTTTTGTTGCGGCTCGCAAAACGTGTATGAAGCTGGACAACTACCCTGAATTTGAGTCCCTAGGGCTCCAAGTACCTCCTCAGAAGGTATTTGGACCCTCTAAACCCACCCCAGTCCCACCTTCTTAGATCCTGGTCTCTGCATCTGATGAACATCACAAACGAGTCAGTGAAGATCGGACGTGTGGTCGGACCTCGCCCGCGAATGGTCGGAGGGTGGCCCCCAGATCAGAGGCCTAGAGGTCAGGAGGCCGGACCTTGTTTTGCAGGTCAGTTGATGATGTAAAAGCAAGACTCAGCGAGGTACGCAACCAGGTTAGAATAAGGTGTTTGGATTTTTTTGGACCTGGAGGGAGTATCAATGTGCTGTAGATTAGTAGATCCATGTAGATCCACAACCACGTTTGTTGCATTGATTTCAAGCTGGTTCTGTCCGTGCAATGCCAGCGGTGGCCACCCTGTCATTGATTTGCAATGCATTTTTGCTAGTGCAGAGCCTTGGCCAAACTGGACGCTTGTCCAAATACCATGGACAAATTTTGAGTTGTAGATCTTCTGCCTGCATAAGAGACCATATGAAACCCAAAGAGACTATTCCCATACCATATATGTATGGATCCTTATCCACCCGTCCCAATGTCCCAGTGGACGATGCACGTTCGGTGCGGGACTTTGGGCTCGGTTCATTGTTCGAAGGCCTTTCCTGAAGATGGTGCGAACAATCCTGCCCAGAGTTCATCCATGACATGTGACATGTTTGTCTACATTTGGGTCGTTTAAGGGGTCAATTAGTAAAATAACTCTAGTAGTATATTTTGTATATATACACTGTATTTAATACTCATGGACTCTGGTCAACGGAGATCTTCTACTCAGGCGAACATGTGATGTCTAAGTTTAACTTGAATCCTTGAACTTTGGAAGTCCAGAGTATATATATATATATGCAACAATAGGTAACAATGCATGGATTGTAAGGGCTTTGAAAGGTGTTTGCTACCACGTCGTCGAACATGACCATTTCCACCCACCACGTGTGGGGCCTTTAGTGCAAAGGACGCTTGCACACTTCGTCTAAGGCCGGGTCCATGGAGACAAGCAGGTGTCAAATGACATCAACTATCCCTATAGGTATCCACTGCCACCTAAGAATCCAAAAGGTACGGGACCGAGGTGTCGAACAGAAAAACCTCTCAGAGGCGACTGGGCGTGAAAGCCTGTGTTGTTTTGAAGCTGAAACGCCAATTTCCAGTGCGAATGCAACAGCTTGGTCAAGAGCTTACACCAATTCAAGGCTTAAGCCACAAGCTACGATGGCAGCCATGGTGTACATAGATTACATAGCAGGTAGTGCAAGATGTGGGGAGCATTTGAGCCTCCATCAGCTTTTCCTTCGAGCCGACACCGAGCCGTAGAATGGCACCTATACGTGTAGTGTCTCCAATCCACCGTACCTGGGAGATGTGGATCCTTAGCGTGCCAGAATGAGCTTTTGTTCTATTTTTTTCATGGCACTTGGACCCCGCTGTCGTGAAACATGAGCGAAGACATCGTGAAACAGGAAGACATCATTACACACTTTTCACTTCACAAATGTCAGAGTGTAACAGTCGAAGAAGAGTTTGAGCCGCTCCACTCCACATCTTTCTCACCAGAATTCCCGCGGCCGAACCGAACATGAGACCGAAGAGATAGCGGCTGGAAAGGTAAATTCCTCGTGGATCTTAAAAGTATGTTGGCATTATATTATCTTGTTGTTGTATTTGTTTGTTTTCTGGGCACAACAAGCGGTCTTGGCGCCGAGACATCCGGAAGAATGGAGATGGCGCTGGCCAAAGCACCCGGTGTTAAGAGACACCTTCGGCCTGGGCAGAGCTGGAGCTGGGCAGTGGCCCTAGCTGCATTGCTGCCTTTGTGAAAACGCCCTATGAGGGGTGCGACGGGCTTGCAAGGGGCTGACCAGCGTGGCTGGCACACCGAACACCTGTGCCTCTTCCAGCCTGGGTGTTGCATAGGGGTCTCCCTCAGGCGATCTGTGTGGAAAGAAGGAACATCAACCAGTCGACCCCTTAAGGCCTTATATCGTCTTCCAAGATCGACCTCTACCGAACCGGTTTGGTGTCTCCTGGAACCTCGCCTTTGGATCCACGTACGTGTCTCCGGATCCAGAGGGTGTCGTACCTGAAAATGGAGACTCAGTCGTACCTGTTTTGTTACAGGGTCATGTCCCATTTTCCAAGGTACGAACGAAGTCGGGTCCAGGTCCAGGTACATTTGCTTTCTCCCGTGCCCCGCGCAGGCGCTGCACTTGGTGCCCGAGGATTGCCACACGGAGATGGCTCGTCACCTGATGAGCTGGGCTTCTCAGGGCGGGTGTAGGCCACGGCGGCACCACCTGTTCAAACCCTGGCACCTGGTTGCGTCACTTGTTTTTGCCGTAAAAATGAGGTCCTTGACCTGCAGGGCCTGCAGGGTATCCTGGGTGGCGACGTTCCCAGAGGCTCATGGACACTCAAACTGCTATAGATTCTATTGTTTCAGTCCCTTTCACCCGGACCTCTGTGAGGGTCCAAACTCACCCGGGTCACGCGAGTACGCCGGACTGGCTCCTTTCGGAGTCCCCGGAAAGGTGGAGAATCCGACTGGTCTTCCCCGTCCGTTCGGTGAGTGACTGCCACCCGTCGGACTGCCGGACTGCCGGACTGCACGGCCAAGGGGTGGTTGAATGGAAGTCAACTGATCGGCATTGTATGGTAGTCCCATGGAGGGTTGGATGCATAAAGGGAACATATCTTTGCTTTTGGTCCTCCCGACTGATGGTGAATTCATCGACCTGGTGGTCTTCGGTTTGTTCGGTGATTTCAGCCACTATGATGGTCGGATGGTTTTGACATGAATACATTCCATGCTATTGCTTCTGCCGACATATTTAAATGTTGAATACCCAGTGCGTCTTTTCGGGGTTCCCTGTCGGGAGACCTATAAGTAGTGGGCTGGGTTGTGCAGCCAGATGACCCTTGGAAGAAAGCAGCTGGTATGTTGTAAAACGTTATTTATAACGTTATATTCAGAATCTTATTATCAGCAAACACTTATTCTGGCTATATAATGTATCTATGATCTTCTAACGGTCGAACTGGGGCAAGACGTTTTTTTTTTTTCCGCACGGTCCTGGACCCTTTGGGTGGACAAAACAACCAAACGCCGAACGCCATGCTTGAAGCTTTTGGATTCTCTCCCATCGATTCCTGTCCGCCCCCAGAGCGGCCTAGCAGCGAGGCATCCATCTGAATCTGGCGCAAGCATGTTTGCAGCTGAAGGTGCTGTGACTGGGTGCTGGTGTGATGCACGGGGGGCCGGACTCATGAGAAGATGAAGGTATTCCCTTGGTGCATTGAGAAACCCTATGTATATATATATATATATTATGGATTTAAAATCCAAACCCCTATGGATCCCCCCCAACAAGCATCTTTTAAACCGGTGGTCTTCAAGTCGGGGCGTGAACTCGTCCCGTCGTACCGTCGTTCTCAGCCCGGTTGGAAGGATTCGGAAGTCGATCTCCGTGGATGAAGGGGTTGAACCTTGGCCAGATAAGGGACCACCTGGAAAATGGGTGAAGAATCATGGACCAACCCCAAATTCTTCAAGACCTATGGGCAGCCAAGTGATGATTTGTGTTGAATCTAAGCCGCAGGCTGATATATGGACACACGTGGATAGTGGATATTCCTGTGATTTCAGGGTCTGAAATTTTGAGTTAATGTGATAAGTTTACATTATTCCGCTTGTATATGGCCATTTCAGGATTTGACTCATGTAAGACCATCTCGTGTCGGGCCTAGACCATATTGTATCCAAAAGCATCAGGGATGTCAGGGGGAGTTTACCCAGCCGGGATGTCGACTCGAAATGCTGAGGTCCCACCGGTATCACGGGTCCCTCGGTTCCTTTTCAGTCCGTCCTCGTCACAGCTAGCACTGCGCAGCCTGGCACCTGTGCGTACACCGGTGCTAGGCCTATGAGCCAGTTGGGCTACATGAGTCACTGCTCCCACAGGCCAGGCAAAACAAGCTGACAAGAATTACTGGATATACAGAGCTGAGAGGCTTGGCAGCCGCCCTGAGAACAGTCCACACTTCCCTCTTGGACTTTCAGGTGCCTCCTGGCCTGATGGTGAGGCCACTGAGAAAAGGGGAGCTTGGGATTCAAGGGAACCAGGGTGAGTGGCTCATCTATGATGAGAAGACTGGCAATGCCACCCCTGAGATTCCACAAGGCCTGCAGCTTGCCAGAGTGCCACTGCTTGTGTCCATCAGTGATCAGGGACCAAACAACATGGCTGCCCTGAATTATCTGCAATACAGCAGTGAATCACTCATGATTCATGCCCAGTGGGATCCATTCCACAGAGCCTGGAATGACTTGAAGCAGGGCATGAAGAAGTGCAGCTGGCAAGCCTGGAAAGTTGTGCTACAGCTCACTGTAGTAGCCAACTTACCATATGGACCCTTTGAATCAGGAACCTGGTTCTACAAAAAGCAGGCCAGGTTGAAAGAGTACCTTGATGCCAAGACCATCCATTCCTCATCATGGAGAGAATTCCAACATTTGATTTGTTTGGAACAAAGAAGAGCAGAGCCTAGAAATGATGAGGAAGCTCAGGAACTGCTCCATAGCCTGAAGCACCTGCCATCCTTCATGGAGAAAGGCCCCCTGGTAAAGCTGATGCGATGGTTCAGCTTCTTTGAATCCATGATGTTTATGGATGGCCAGTTTTGGTTCACCAAGCTTATCCTGTCTGATACTTCATTGGGTGGCCCAGAAGAAGAAGAATAAGCTGACCAGGCCATGCCTGAGCACGCTGATCCTGCTAAAGAATTGCAGGAGTTGAAGAAAAAGAAAGGCACCTGGAAACTTGCTCCAACTCTCATCAACCACAGGAGCCTGAGCATCAAGGACTCGATCCTATCAGTGGGAAGGGCCACATGGAAGCAGCATGCCACAAGGGCAAGAGAGGTCACCAGCCCCCTTCAAGTTCAACAGCGCAACATGGCCTGCGCTGGCTCCAAATACTGGGCCATCGAGCTAGAAGAAATGATGCAAAATGCCCTGTGGCGCTCAGACAACGTCACACATGTGCTGCCCATGTGGAAAGGGCATGATGAGGCACTGCCTTGGCACATGGACTTGCTGGAAAAGATTCTGGAAGCCAGGGCACAATCTCTAGCTACCACCTCTGTGCTATGCCCATGCCCTCTCAGCAGACATCGAAGTAGCCTCAAGAGCCTGTGACGTGGCCAAAAAGCATTGGACCTACCTGCTGGAGGCAGAGGCAGCTTCTTTGGCAGGTGTGCACATTGAAGCACTCAGCCATATACACTGGAGATTGAGTCCAGTGGTCAGGTTGGTGCTCCTGAGCTTTGAGCATGACAAGTCACAGGCAATGCAGCTCATGAAGGCCCTTTGCAAGACTATGGGTGACTCAAGGCTGATTGAGGTTGCTCACCAGCAGGCCAAGGATTTGCTGAAAGCATCGAAGTCTGACTCATTCTCAAACATTGCCATCATGAAGCAGATCTTGAGCTCCCAAATTCTAGAAAAATATGGATGTGGTGAAATCAACAGCTGCCCAGAAAGTGCAGGCATCTTCTCGCAGAGACCAGAACCAAGCTGTGAGCAAGAACATGAAAGCATCCACACACCAGCTCCCAAAGAATATTCAGGACATGATGCTGCCACAAAAAGGCAAGGGGGCTTCCACATGGCCCACACCCACCCAAGCAGGCTTGTTCCAAAGTGTGGCAGCCACCAAGTGGCTGATGCACTATTCAGAGTTCTTCCAGGGAACATCGAATGCTGTGGACATCAATGCCTCATGGCCATCCATCCTTGCCCCTGCAGGAAGATTGATGGCACAGCAGTCCGCATCTCTTCTGGTCAAGGTTGTGGCTTCTGCACAGCACTCCTTCTTAGCATGGCAAGTGACAGTGCAGAATTGGAGGGTGACCATGTCTTCCTTTGCGAACCTGACAGGGACAGCCTGCTTTGGTTGCACATCACTGACATCCATGACTGGGTGATGATCCCTTCTGAGCCTGTGGTGGTGAACTCAGTGAATGGTCCACTTGGGTGGAAAAAGGCAGGTGACCCATTGCCTCTGGAAATGGCTGTTTGCATGGAAAACTTACAGACTTTGGGTGTCTCATACATCAAGCGCCTCATTGAAGAACTGGGTGGAGCAGCGATGAAAGGAAACCCCAGTAGAAAGGCAGTGGAAGAGACCCTTTTCAAGATGGTGTTTGAGGGGGAAGGATTGGACAGTGCCTGGAAGTCTTACCAAAATAAGGCATCTGGTGAGGCTGATGATGATGGCATCGATTCAGATTTCTCTGAGACTCTTTCAGAACTGGATCAGGAAGAAGGAAACCAAAATGACATCAAAGATTTGAAAGCCAAGAAGAAGGCAGCCAGGCTGAAGAGGAAGATGAAGGGTGAGGCAGATGGGCCTGTCCAAGGCAGAAAGAAAAAAGGGAAAGGCAAAGGCAAGGGCAGAGGCAAAGGAGGGAAAGGCAAAGCCAAGGGAGAAAAGACAGGTGGCAAGAAAAGGAAGAATTTCTTGGACTCATTGATAGACTTGGCAATGAAAAGGGCAAAGGGTGGGAGTGACCTCCACCTCCACCACAAACTTCAGAGGCAGAAGGTGCCACCTCAAGCTCTTCCAAGCCCAGCCCACCAGCTGATGAGCCAATGCCAGGTGCAAGCTTCAGCTCTTCCCAACCCAAACCAGCAGAGCATGAGGATCAGGCTGCCTCAAGCGCTGCTGGTGAGAACCCACCTGAGTCCCAGCCCTTTGGACATTCAACCTCCAAGACCCCCAGCCCCAAGATCTACAAGTCACCAGAAGAACTTCTGTCCAAATTGGCACCACCTGGGTGCACAGTTTTCCGGTCTTATATGGACTCTCGATTCACCTGCAGATTTTCCTCCAACAGTGGCAAGGTGAAAGGCACAGCTTACCAACAAGTGACAAAGACAGCATCTTTCACATCAATCAGGTCTTGGCAAGAAGCATTATCGATGGTGCACCAGCATAGTTGGGAAAAATGGGCACTGCTGAAAGCAGAGTTGCCACTCCCAGCTGGACTGCAGGAGCAATCACCAGGCTCTGTCCCTCAGGACACATTGATGCCCTTGCACCAATCATTGCTGAACTTCCAGAGCGCAAGAGGTACACTGGAAAGTCATGATAATTGTATTGGAGGTGTATCCTTCATGTGGGCCTTTGAAGGGGAGAACTTTCTTGGCCATTTGAAACAATGCTGCTGGCTGGGCCCATTTGAATTCATTGGCCTGGCCAGCTGAAAGACACTCCAGCCCCTTTGCTGGGGGCTGGCTGGTGCCTGACACCAAATTGAGGTCTGGCACTGGGGACTGAATTGGTTTGGATGCTGCTGCTGGAGGACTTGATGCATTCAGCTTTGCATGCCTTGCCCTTGTCCTTTAACTTTGCACCTCCTTTCTGCCTTCTCATGTCAAAGGCAAACTGGGCGCCTTGAACTTTGTCAAGTGTTTTAAAATAGAAACCCACCACCCTGGCCATAATTAATTTGCTGCATGCACTAATTAAACTTAGCTTGTCCACCCCTGGGTGTTTGTTACAGCTGTGAACCAAAGAATTGTGATGTGAGTGAATCAAATGTGGAATCAAAGGATGTGGGTGAGTGCATGGGAGAACCAAAGAATTGTGATGTGAATGTGGTGAATTGTGAACCACAGAATTGTGATGTGGTGAAGTGTGATCCAAGACTTTGGATGTGTGGGATGCATGTGGCTGCTGTGAGCAGCTTTCCTGTCAGAGCAATGAAAAAAAGGCACATGACATCATGTGCTCCTTGCCCTTTGCACTGCCAATCTCACTGAGGTGACATGTTTGTATTTTGAGGCCCACTTATGGCTTGGTTAGTTAAATTTTTGTGCTCTGCTCAGTGTAGGCTAGATGTTCCCATGGCTCGTGGGTGCACCATTTAACTCCAGTTGCAGTTTTTTTTGAAAGTGTCAACATGGCACTTGCCATGCACTGCATTCCACTACAGTTGTGGCAGATGCCATTACTATGAGTGAGAGAAGGCATTGAATTGCCATTAGGGTGCCAATTGCCAAAAACCTCAACCTACCAGACTTGCGTCTGATAAGAAAAAGTGAGCTGTGTGTGTGCACTTTTGTACACTGCATGTTGCTGCTTTTGTTGGCAGTTCTGAATTGGAAAGATCTAGGTTTCCTTGGGTTTTTAGTGGATGGTTGTTAGGTTTTAGTGGGTTATCATAAGGTTCTCTTGGGGTTCTCTTAGGGGAATGGGAAAGTTGAAGAAGTATCAGGGTGCATCTTTGACAACCCGTTTGGAAGGATTCGGAAGTCGATCTCCGTGGATGAAGGGGTTGAACCTTGGCCAGATAAGGGACCACCTGGAACATGGGTGAAGAATCATGGACCAACCCCAAATTCTTCAGCATGCAATTCAATTGATGTCGCTCACAAGGCCTTCTCTTCAAAGATTGCAGGCGGACTCCAAAGAAATCGGTGGCACGAAGTTGGTTTTGCGAATCAGTTCTGGTAAACATATATTACATGTTCCAGGCTTCTTAAGCAATCCAAGCTATATATATGTGTTTTCGACATCTTAGTGTCTTCGCATTGCTGATGGCTAGAAACTTGGGCACGAGGAAGAGTTGATTTTGACCCTCGTGAGGTGTAGTCTTTGAAACTTAGTCCTAGTTTGGTTTGGAAAATATTCTTTACTAAACCACTAAAGGTGAGACCTATGGGCAGCCAAGTGATGATTTGTGTTGAATTTAAGCCGCTGGCTGATATATGGACACACGTGGATAGTGGATATTCCTGTGATTTCAGGGTCTGAAATTTTGAGTTAATGTGATAAGTTTACATTGTGCGTACGCCGGTGCTAGGCCTATGAGCCAGTGGTCTTTCACACCACGCAAGCACTGAAGGTGGATCAAGAGAATGCCAAGGCCAGGTGGGGACGGAACCTTCCTGACCCACTTTGAGGGCCCTTATATATTCCCTATGGGGATCCAGTCGTACCTGCTCAGATGGCACAGACCCTTCAAACCTACATTATAGTGTCTCCAGTCCAAACACCCTCTCAGAGGGTATGCGGATCCCTTTGATTAGGGATTGTTGGTTGGTTGATGAATAGAGGATAATAGAGGGGATATACCCCGCAAGTAGTGTACCACCATTTTTATAGATACCAGCGGACCTGGTTTAGGAAAAAGATATGGTGTTTGTTTGTGAACACCTCTACTTTTGAATGGGTTTGAGGGTCCCTGGTATCTGATATACTTGGCATCGACCCGTCTATGATCCCTTCCTGATCAGCCCGCTTAGGGAGACGGGACAGAACCGTCAGACGGAGGGCGGACCCCACCGTAGCGGTCGTGAAGAGCTGTGAAGAGCTGTGTCCCATGCATTTTCTGTAGCCGATGAACGCCTGAGAACCACTGGGTTGTAGAGGAAAATCGTCTTCCAAAGGTCCATGCCAAGCCCGGTTCCATGTGAGTTTTCGGGAGTGTATCACTCCGAACCCATGCGGGCGTGCAGAGTCATGCAGTGAAAGTCCTTCTTATAAATATGTACTGGTTAAACTGGTCTCCCGGGTTCGCAGGGACTTTTATGATCAGGAGTCACATGGAGTTGGGTGGCTTTTAGTCCCATCCAGTGAATGGATGTGACAAGGGCACCCCTATTCTCCAAGTTCGGCACCCCGACATGTGACTCCTGGTATTCAGTATTCATAATATGTTATCATATATGTTTGAGAAAGGCATGACATTTTAATGCAATTTAACCATCATTACAGGAATTATACGTAGACACAACCCTCAAGCTCTAAAAGATCTAAAAAGGACCTACGACTCGACCCATTTTCCGAGGTACTTGGCCTGGTTGAGGGTACTTCCGAAGTCACTGGACATTCCTTTGCCAACCAGCTCTCCGATCGCTCCTGATCGTTGGTGCGAAGTTCTCCCAACGGGACAGTACAGCAAAACACACTCCCTACAGGCCATCAGACTAGACCCATGACCCAGGTGTAGCAAAATCACCTGGTTCCTGACAACCTTCCAGTGTTTTTGATTCTTGGTAATGTTGGAGCCTGATTTGTAAATAGGTCCTTCTGATTTTAGAAGACCCCCTGTTTGAGGGAGGGGGGGGACCCCTATTTACTAATCAGGATCGCATCCTCAACTCCAGTAAACTCAGGTCCGTTCCTCACCTCTAGGGATTACCTTTTGGGGGCCGGTGCCACCGGTGCCACCGGTTCCACCTGACCTGGGCTTGCGGGAAAACGGCACGAACGGCACACACGAACGGCCCGTGCAACATCTGTTTGAAAGTGCCTCTGAAGAGTATCAGAAGTCTCCAGGGTATCTCTGAAAAGTATACAGTACTGCAGAAAGTAAAACTCCACAACCTGTTTCCAAATTGGGGTCATATCCTATTCCTATTGACTAAAGGTACTCGAAGTCGGGTCCAGGTCCTCTCCGAAACAACGTTGGGACGGTCCAAAAGCATCACGCGCCTTCAACGTCCGGTAGCCAGTGGTCGGATGTTTTCTTCTGCGTGGAATCGAGGCCTTCTACCGCCGCGGTTTGGCACAAGAAGCGCTGGGGCGGACTCAGGTGACCCGGGACAAACAGATGCGTCGGACGACGCGGAAGCACATCTTCTTGGGGGGACTGGGTTTGCGACGGCGGCCGATCTCCACTGGTGGAGGTCCCAAAGAAGCAAATAAATGTTGATCGAATGGGATCAAATGGAATTCTAAGTAGAATGAAGATCACCCAATATTAGACAGGACACCCCTTTGAAGGTCCAGGTATATATGGATTGTTTGGGGTATATATAGATTGGTGATGATGCCGGTGTGGTGGTTTCGTTGACCAAGAGAGCGTATTGGGAGATGGTAAATGGTGGGCTCTACAGTTTGCTACAATGGTATGTATATATTTTGGTCAAGAGTCATAAATTATATTTAATTATATAGTGCGATATGCGAGTAATACTGGTCGAAAATGGTCCAAAGATGTCCAAAGAGGACAAATACATTGCCTGAGTCAGTGCATGATCATGAGATCCAGAGATCCATTTCAATTTTGGACAGCTTTCTGTCCATATCACCAAATCCGTGTTTTCATCAACAATTGTGTTCCTATGTCATCCAAGGTCCGCATTCAATGGTTTCCTGGACATACACAATTTACCTCAAGATTAGGATAAATGGATGATGTTGGATGGTCTTGATCCATCAAGAACAGCTAACACATTCTAGCACGTAAGTCGGAGTCTTCGCAACATGTTGCAGGGGTCCAACTTCTTCCGTTCGTGACCTCAGCAGATCGAGCTCGGTCACGAACAGAAGAACCAGGATGGAACCGCATGGTTCTTTTGAACTGTCGATGATTGGATGGCTAGATCCCATGCAGCAGGTCACCTCGTGTCCCAAGGAAATGCAGTCGACAGAGCAAGAAGCTGCTTGAGATCGAACAAGATCACGACTCGTCCCAGAATGAGGTCCCTTAGAGAGACTCCAAAGAGGTCACTTTGAATCGAATCCAGTCTGCGGCTGCGGGAGGAAGAATCCAGTCGCACAGAGGTCCCCAGTCGATAAGGCTTGTTCAAAGAATATTGCCGGTTTGGCCCCCAGCCCCGATGTGTCCAGCTATATTGTCTACACCGGGTTTCTTTTCCAGGCTCCGATGCTTCCCAGCTTGGCCAAATGACTCATGACAAGGTCCCAACACTGACTTGGGGAGACAAAGGCGATGTCGGAGGTCTTGCAGAGCCGCACACGGTTTAACCTCTTTGAGACAAGCTTGGCCCATGCCCAAACCAGCACCGGCTCTTGAGATGCCTGTGTCAGGGTGCAGCCAATGACCTCCAGCGTGCGGTCAGGACGGGTCAGGGAGAATTAGGGTGGGAATACGACAAGGTCTCCTCCCTAGGATTTGAAGAAACAATTGTTAAATGCTTTCTACCAAACAACCATTGTACCGTGTCACTGCTTGCATCTTGGACGACGAAAACAGCAAGGCTCACATCACCGCTTAGAGCGTTCTTTTGGCACTTTTGTTTAATGGCCCGAACCAGTCGTTTTATCCACCAGCAAGGAAGGATCATAATTATTCACGTGGATACCAGACAATCCATGGGACTGGAAATATTGACCACCCCAATGACTGTTAAACATGTTAGTTTACCGGCCTGGCCACATCAACGACAACTCAGTGGGAAGCATGTTCACGTAATTCACATGGTGAATAGCTGCATGGTTAATAACAAAGTATCAGGTTCATATATATGTACTATATGTTAAACAATGTTAAACCTCTATTCATTTTCGAGTTCATTTGTGTTTTTTTCCTTATATCATTTGTGTCAACTGTTATTGTTCTTGCAAGGTAAACAATGAGATTATTCAGTCTTTACATTTTAACGGGTGGTTTCTACAAAGAACAACATAGGATAAGATAAACCAATAAATTTGTATATCACAATTTTTCATGCAAACAATTCCTGATAAGACTGAAACAATGACCTCTTATCCTATATAGTCTTTTAAATAAGTCATTTTTTATATGACTAAACTTGTGAGAAGGTTTGTTCGGCATCTCCGACTCACTCTGCCACCGAAAAAAAGACCAACTCAGCCGATAGGGGTTTTCTCTTTGCTTCGGCCCTTCGGGACCCTTCGGGACCCTTCGGGACCCTTCGGCCACTGCAGGATAGAACCTCGCAATGCGGAAGTCCGAAAGAAGTGCGCGCACGCACCGCGGAGCGGTTTCGCGCATCGGACCATTCAGAGACGTTTGATGTTGTGGTTTTGTTGGACATGTCATATGTCATATACATCAGATAGCTGAGTAATCAGTATGCTAGGTTATCAATGTGATTGTATGCGGGTTCATTTGAGCAAGTAGGGGGAGCAGCACTGGCACTGTCTTTGATCATCCGAGATCGTTTCTTCCTCCGCTTTCTCATCGAGGTACGAAGAGTCCCTTGGATCTGCATCGACCGGATCTCTGTGTACCGTACACTCCTCGAACCCAAGGGCCACATGGAACCCCAAACCCACGTCGGGTTGCAGAGGAAAATGCCATTCCACGGGTGAATTCTTAGGTTCCATGTACAGTTTGCATGAGGGGAAGAATCCGGGATGGGAAGGGCTGGGTGTGTGGACCCCTGCATCATGTTTGGTGAAAACCGTGCGAAGAGATCGGGTCTTAGGGCTGTTAGGGCTCTGAAATGTGATTCCCTCCGCCTTCAAGGGGCGGTTGGTCCTCATTTCTACAGAAAAAAAACCCTTGGTCCCCTATAGACGCAGGGCTCGTCAGCTCGCGCCGCAGAATCCGCCGCTCTGACGACGAGCGGACATCGTGGGTCGGTCGGATTCGGAAAATCGTTGTTGGGTCCTCTGGAAGATGAGAAGGGCCATTGGAAGGGCCTCCATGTTTTTCCCGGACTCTTCCCAGACCTTTTCAGGATTTAGGATACCTTCAGGACTCTTCCCACTCCCAGTGACCTGTGTTTATGGAGTCTTCAACCAAAAGTGACCGCCCCGCCACGACTTGGGCTCACTGGCAGCCACGGTCGGTCACTGGGAGTTGGTAGCTGGCTGGCTCAGTCATGCCCAGTCAGTCCTTTTCATGCCTTTCTCTGAGAAAAGCTGAGAGGAGTGGGACCAACCTTTGAATATCTTTGAATATCTTTGAATTATCTATCCACTTTGAATATCTTTGAATCATCACTACCTGTCGATCTTTATGAGCGCAGATCGAAGAGTGGGACCAACCTTTTTGGGGTGTATGTAGTTCATATCGGAATTCCTGGTTCCCATGTAACCCCCGCGGTGAGAAACACCGCACGACATCGGGCCGACCATGCGGGAACTTGGGGCTTTGGTGAGGTTGAAGAAGCTTCTAGCTGACGTTCAGAAGAAGAAGGACGAGGACCTTCGGCACTCCAAATCATCTGTTCCGACCCTGGGGGATCCAGTCGCGTACTGGCACTCTTGGGTTTGTACGCTGAGTCAGCGGAGACTCAGGTCCTTCCTCACCGGATCTGTGGATCTATATAGACCCAGACGCCGATCAGTTGGGACTGCCGGACTGCCGATCAGGCCAGGGATGCTTTGAAGGTCAACTGCTTGGCATGTATATATGGCAGTCATGGAGGGTATGGGATATGGAGATATTCCTTTGTCCTGTTCCGCGCAGAGACCTCGTGGGAGGCGCAGACGTCGACTGACGCACGGTGCGCGGTGCTCGATGCGAAGATGGACGGTTTTCCAACGGGTTGGGCGTTGGATGGCGGAACGGCGCCCCAAACGGGGAACACTAACCCAAACCAATCGCCATGGGATTGGACTATTTGCCGATCAATTGGGGAGGTTGCATCCAGTTTTGAAGTCAATGGGCAAATGTTCCATACATGAATTGTTTGGAATCGTTTGGAATCAATTCCCTGGGAACTGCGATCGTACCATGCCTTGAACACCATGCCGCAACACATCACTTGACAGCTGGGTACAGATGGGTTTTCTTCACAGCCAAACCACTCCTCAGTTTGGTCACCGGCCGCGCATGCGTGTCACTCCCGGCCGCCAGTTCGCCCGGGAACCGCGGGGAGTCCGAGGTTCGCCCGTCCCGTCGCATCGGTGCGAGTCGAACGGTGACCCTTTACGGGCCCCGTGACCGAACATCCTGGGGGGATCTCCCGGGATCTCACGGCTCAGGTCGGAGGCGACCGCGCTCCTTTTTCGCCCGATGCGTCCTGGGCGAAGCCCGTTGCGCCCTTTTCAATGTCAACGTTGGTCCAATCCATTCCCGGGAAGCCGCATGCATCGCTGAAACCGCAGGAAGAGGGCCCCGTCGTCCATGATTTGCAGTCCTTGCCACTTGGGTTACTCCATGCGGTTCGGGCACTTTGCGGTGAGCCATTTATGTTGGTCGATGCGTTGCATCAGGAGCAAGTTTGATGGAGAAAGAAGTGCTGCCAATGTGGAGAGGATTTACAGATTTTGTGAGGGGGTAGTAGACCCTGCAAGTTGCTTGATGAAAGGCCTAGATCCAGCTCATTGAAGGTCAACCTTTTGGACCTATACCCCGCTACATTTTGCTGGAGTTGATGATACCCACCTTCTGAAAAGATGATTGGAGACTATTTATGTAGGCGCCAGGAGGGCCCGATACCTTCTGAATCCGTCTGAGAAGGTGGCAGTGGATCTATGGGGATGAAACCATGTCTCAATGAGGCCAAGTGCCAGGTGGCTTTACTGTGAGTCAGACTGGATCAACCAAATATGGTCTTACTGAGTACTCCATGACCCGAACAATACAGGTACTCTGTGGTCCCCAAATAGATAGTGGCACGGTGTCCAATACATTTTAGTATAGGGAGTTGTTTTCTAATATATTTGGTGGTCTGTACACCCGAAGTCGACCCGGGCATCGTACCTCGCAAGTACTATAGGGGCCCCGTTTTCGTAACTGTTGTTGGTTTGGGTGAGTCATGTCATGATCATGTCCCATTTTCTAAGGTACGAACGGTCGGTCGGGTCCAGGTTCATCACAGCCGAAGCCGTTGGACTGTCCGACCTGACCGTTCATCAGCCATGTTCGGATTCGCAGAGGATGGGTGCAATCGGGCCAGCAAAAGTATATATATATAGGATGAAATACCTATACCAGCAGTTCCAAAGGGGTGCCGAACTTGGAGGATATGGGTTGCCGTTATCCACTCACTTGGGGACTGAACTCAGTATATAGGATGAAATACCTATACCAGCAGTTCCAAAGGGGTGCCGAACTTGGAGGATATGGGTTGCCGTTATCCACTCACTTGGGGACTGAACATCATTCCTTTGGAACTGCTGGTATAGACCATATCGACTTCTTCAGATGTTGTGTGTGTTGCTTGTGTTGATACGTAGTCCCTGTTGAAAGCGGCCAGGAATTTCCTGTACTTCAGTGGGACGTAATATCGTCTTCGCTGGACTTCTACCAGTACCACCCAGGGCTAGGGTGCTTCATAGAGCCCCCTTTGAAGATGTACTGTATGCGCTGTATGTTCCATCCCCAGACTATCCATGGGGACTGGACTAGCTACACATTTACCATCATTTCCCGCATTTTTCACGGCCGATCCATGTAGGGTAACTATTCCAGTCCCCATGGATGATTTGGGATTCAGGTCCCCACTCGTCGTCGCCGGCCGACCTCGTAACCCTGGACCCATTCGGCTCAACGAGGAGGTCCAGAGGTCCTGTCGTCTTCGGCGAGCAACCGCCACATCAAGGCCACGCGCGTGGTTGGAGGTCGCCATCGGCGAGCAGGAGCCCAAGCGCTTGGCGTCTTGGCTGTGGCGAGCTCGGCGAGCGGGAGGGTGTGCTCAGTGTTGATATGTTGACTTTTTTCTTGTGACTGTCACTGAGGGGGGCGGAATTTATACATGGAGTCTCAAGGAAGCTTGGAAAATTGTAAAATTGTTTGCTTTTATAGGGTTATCTAAGTCTAGGTACTTTGGAGGGTCGAGGTAGAAACATGCTAGAGGTATCGGTATATGCGCTCGCCACTCTTTGTTTGACTGAAGCAGTTTTTAGCAACAAGCCTAGAAGTCCAAGTCGACTAAGACAATGCTTCCCGTTGACTTAGTGAAGTAAAGATCAGACCAATTTAAAACATATATATATATAGTACATTGCTATCTCCCAGGGTGGTATTGTTTCAGTCGACTGGACGACGGCACGGACGCACGGATGCACGGACGCACGGGGTGTAATGGTTTGTCATCCCAAACGCTCCGGTCAAACGCTCCGGTCAGTCTTATGGAGCGATGGGTCTCCGCTGGCGAAAGCGGGTTTGGACCTGAAGAAGTTACAGTGGGCCATCAGAGTAGATGGCACTGGCACCCCAAGATGCTTGTTTTTTAAATATCGGGGTCCATACAAATCACCTTTTGGGCATGGTGCCACCTACTCTGAAACCACTGTATACTTCTTTTTGGGAGGGGGGGACCATATTATAGGGGGTTCTAGACATGTAAGATCATGTAAGTAACCCACCCCACCCCATACAAGACTGAGGTGTAGACTGGCAAGATGTCACAAGAACTTGAAACAAAGTACCTGGACCCTCCCAATTGGGACAGAGCCTTCATGTCCGATGCTTCTGGGGTCTCCACCCGCCAGGGGGCCGGAGGGGAGGGGCCCTGGTATTGGAATGTATGTGCAGATGCTCAGGAAACAGATCACTGAAGCATCCCGAAAGAAGTTGAGAGGAGGACGATGCTTTGAGACAACAATTGTTGGCGCGGAATGACGATTCAGTACGTGACATATAGTGACAAACCTTCCGATAGAATGAGGTCCGGTATCTTGTGGAATACCCTAGTATTCCTGGCCCACCATATTGGATTTAAGATGATCTAAGAGATTTCAAGAGCCCAAATATCCCGAGCTACCAGCTGTTTTACTACGGATGTTGCACCATTAAAACCAGGTCCACCATGTTTCAACTGGTCCTGGTTCCAGGACCAGTTCTTGTTCTGTCCAATTGGCAACTCAGTTCGGAAGCTCTGCTCCCAAACCGACCGGTCCGCGGCCCATGCGCTGGGCCGATGACCGAGGTCTTTGTGCTCTACGCGGATAGTGTCCGGGCGGTCAGCACGAACGGACCCGGTCAGACCAACCTCTGTGGGAGAATCAATCGAAATTGGGGCCAGGGGTTGGGAGGTGCAAGACAAAAATGCAAGCCCACGAATGGAGGTGTGGCACTGTTCTTCAAAAGCAACGAACGAATGGAGGTCATTGGAGGTCACCTGGTGTTGTGGAACCCCCGGCGACGTTGATTGGCTCAATGGTTCAATTGCCCCTTCTGCCTGCGCTCTTCATGACCGAAGATGTCCCAGTTGGCCCAGTTCCAGGATGTTAGGTCAGAGTCGCAGAGTCCTGGAAATCCAACCAGAAACAAATTAAATGTTCCAATATTACGATTTAATGCAATTGAGATCCTTGCCTTTACATAGGAAATGGCTGCTTGGGAAAGAATCCATGTGTTTCTGGGTGTTTGGGTTACCGCTTTGCACTCTGACCCACGTTCCGTGGATGGCATTGGCCCCGGGAACGTCCGGGAAGACCATGTTGCCCTACAAACAGGTGGTGCCATCCGCGTCCCTGAGGGTAAGAGGTGGTTTACCCTCATAAGGAATGAGTATAGTTAGTACCTGTTCTGTACATAGACAGCTGGCGTGAAGTTGGCAGACAGTGGTTGAAACGGGGTCAAAGCATCCCGAAGCATCCATGGGACCAGCCTATCTCAACTCCAGAACCAGCTAAATGAAGGTAAACATGTCATCCAGACGCGCAGTCTGGACCCTCCTAAGCAATCCCGAAGTTGTTCCCCCCGGTCGGCCTGTTTTTGGAGCGGCGCGGCACTGGACCATATAAGAGACGTCCGGTTGAAAGAAACAGGTCAATTGGCCGGTCTCCAGAAAGGTCGTAGTTTTTCCAGAAATACTTTACTTAGTGATCCCCACCATGACGTGTCAATGATTTGTTTTCATGGCATGGTGAGGAGCATGTTGCCATGGTCGTGGGTTTTCTGGTTTTCGATCTTGCTTGTGGTTTTGTGTTTGTGATGGTGTGGAGCTCCGGTAGTGCCCACTCATCATCGGTCATCCCTGCGTGGTCGCGACTCTGTGATGTTGCCAGGTACAACTGCTGTGGCTGTCGGATGACACTGTCCTTGTCCAAGTTCTGCATTGTTCATGCTTGCTGCTCCTGCCGTTGACATGACTCATCAGCCAAATGTACATCATATCATGCTTCCCCGGTCATTCGTCATACCGTTGTCATGATTCATGCTTGCGTCATGAGTCATGCTGCTGTCAGGATCCCTCATCCCACCATTACCACTGTCAGTGTTTGGTATGAATTTGCTTTGCCTGCCTCGTTGCCATGTGGATTTGTCCAGGCTGAGTCTAGCTCGTGCTAGCGACTCCTACCGCTGACATGATTCATACTTGCATCATCAGTCATGTCGCTGTCAGGACGAGATGGCCATACTTGAGACCATTGTTAAGAAGCGCCTGTCTCGAAAGTCCTGATGGCGGAGCACGACCGCCTGTTACAAGTCAACTTGTTGCGCCTGTTTTCGGTGGCGCACGTGTTGCTCGGTGCCGGCCAAGCTTTGTTCACCGTCGAGGCCACAGGGGTATGCAAACCCAAACGTACTGGTTGGACAGTTTGAGGCCTCTTGACCAAACTGAAGTCAACTGCTGGCCTCAAGACAAATAACCCGTGCAGCAAAGAGGGTGCTCGATGAACACCCGGAGTACAGCTTCACCAATTTGTATTTAATGATGGTGATGAGCACGGAAAAGTTTTGCCAACGCCCTGGTTCAGTACCTTGGTATACCTTGGTTCTTGACCTGTGTGTTGCTTTGTTTTGTTCTTGGTGCATCACCTGCTGCTTTGTTGTCGAGAACATATCGGTGAAGCTCATGCAGTGCGCACCCACGCATCTTCTTCTCGTCCTCGATGACCTTCCAATCCGTGCAGCGGCAACAAGCTGCAAGCTATGAGCAAAGCGGATGCTCGGACTGCTCGGAAGGCGGTCAAGAAGCTGGTCACCCTAAAGCCCCACCACCGCGCGCGGCGCGCGTGAAAGAGCCGCAGAGCGACACCCCGGAGCAAGATACAAGACTGCATGGCTTTAGCAACCTTTGGGTGCTTTCGGTTTTCCCTCCTTGTGTAGCGCTCAGTGGTGAGATGGCCCACGTTCAATGGAGTTGCATTCATGGATGTGTGGATCGCCACCCAGCCCATGAGGAGGACCGCATTGTGGATGTGCAGCTAGGGTCGCTGTGCAAGTCAACAGTGATGAACCCTGATGTCAGGGATTCCTGGTGGGCATGGTCTGAGGGCATCCAATGGAGGGTGGCATCCAGGTCCATGTTGTTTATATGCATTCAGCCTTTGTGGCTACAGAAAACTGATTGCAGATTCATATTGCCTTGGCACCCATTCATGTTGTTTTGTTTTTTGACAGTCATGGCTCATTTCATACAATAAACACAACCAACAGCAGGGGCTGAAAGCAGTCCCAACCACTAGCAAAATATCGCTAGTTTGAAATAGCTAACCAGTTAGATAACTTGTTAGCTATCTGTTAGCTATAATGAGTTAATACCCCAGATATTTTTAAAATAGCTATTTAATATGCTAAATGTCATCAAGCACTAGCAAGCCCACGGCCTATCTAAGCAAGGTTTTCTAAGTTGCGTGAACCTCAATGCGCGCAGCCACCGGAACCTGTAGAAGTGTCTTTAAAATAACCTTGGTGTGCAGACACCAAGCGACGCAAAGACGGTTTTATAGGTCCTTCAGGCATTCAAGCGCCCTCAGGTCTACCAAATTTTGTGGGTCAGGTCCTTAAGGACTTGTTTTTTGTTTAAAGGACAATAAGGAAACATTCAGGAACATACGGCTTTTTCAGTTTGTGTGGCAGCCCTGTGGCTACCCTGGTGCGCGTACAGTTTGAGCCCAACCAGTCAAAATGACAACAAATGCAAACAATTGACATGTTTGGGCTTATACAATGTCAAAAATCAAAGAACATTGGCTTTAATGAACATAACGGACTAAACGAGTTTTGAACTTGGTCGCAACTCAAAAGAAACAAAAATAAACAGTAAATGACGTGTTTGGTCAAGTTTAGTCTAACTGGAAAACTGACTTGCAACCGTCAAAAAATGGAAGAAATCGGAATAAAAGGTGAAAACAACTTAAGGCCTTTAATTTTGCTGTTGAGGTCCGGTTGTGCCCACTGCGATCTGACACTTGCTGTTGAGGTCCGGTAGTGCCCACGGCGATCTGGCGCTTGCTGTTGGGGTCCGGTATAGTGCCCACGGCCATCTGGCACTTGTGGTTGCATGAGGTCCGGTCGTGCCCACTGCATGCGATCTCGCACTTCCTCTTAGGGCCTCTTCTCGGGAAGCTTTCCGGGCTGGACCCGGGAAGCTTCCTAAAGATAGGGTTCGGTTTTGCTTCAAAGGCAGCTGAGATCATAGAGATCGGGAAGCTGGAAGAGTGCCTCGCCGGGAAGGCTGCAGAGCCTGCTCCATCGCAACAAAAGCAGAGCTGTTCAGGATTTGATCACGCAGCTCCGAGACGCTGCCGAGGGAGAGATGGACGAGATCGTGAAAGATTTCGTAGATGCCGTACAGGAGGACGGATCTCAAGAGAACGTGTCGTACACAGAACATTTCTTGCTTGGAAGCGAGACCAATGCATGTGGGGCGTTGGTCAAAAAGCTATTTCCGGATGCCTCCACAAGCGGAGCTGCCTCGAAGGAAGAACCTTGCCGCTGAGGCCGCTGCGATCTCGCACTTGCCATTGAGGTCCGGTAGTGCCCACTGCGATCTCACACTTGCAGTTGAGGTCCGGCAGTGCCCACTGCGATCTTCCACTTGCAGTTGCGGTCCGGTAGTGCCCACTGCGATCTGCCACTTGCTGTATTAGTTGCTGGCGAGAAGGAGGAGGAGAAGGAGGAGAGGAGGAGAAGAACTCTGATTAAATCTAACAACCCTCACCTGGAAGGTGGGGAACAACATTCCCCGATGATCTCCAAGAACCACTATGATTTCTTGATGGTCAGAATTTTACAATCGTTTTTCTTGGGATGCTATACACTAGGTCACTAGAAACCAGGCCTTCACGGTAGAACTGCGAGTTCGGGTACCTCCTTGTCCTTCGGTTTTCGAAGACCGCAGCCTTGTCCTTCGGGTACCTCCTTGTCCTTCGGTTTGGGTATCACCGCAGAGAAGGTGCCGAAGACCGCGGAGAACTTCCGGCAGCTCTGCACCGGAGAGCGGGAAGGTGGGGCGGGATAGGAGGGGTACCGGGGTATGCTTGGTGGAAGGAAGGAGTTCATAAAGGATGTGAGGGAGATGGAACCCAGATTGTCGTATTATAACGGATGTGAAAGGTTCATATGGATCATATATGTTATGTGCATATGCCTATATCAACATCACTATCAACATCAATGGTTAATCAGCACCCGGTGTCTGAAAGTACCTCCGAAATGGGTACAAATACATAGGGTCATGTACCAAGTTTTTGGGGTACGAACTGGAGGGTCCAAGCACAAATTGCAGCAAATTCATTGTGTTTAAGTGAGCGAGACGGCCCCCCGAAAGGCAACTCTGTGGGCGAGGTGTGCAAAGGAATGAAACGCAAGAGGAGGCATCTTAAAAGCAACCCAAGTGAAACATAGCGAAACTTCTAGGGCGCAAGTAAAGCTGAAATGTATATAAATATATGTTGGTGAACTTGTCACTTTGACGTTCCCTGTCCTTGAAGTCCACCTTTGCAAGCAGCCTGGATATTAGTCCAGGATTTTTGGCCCACCATTGATTTCATAGCCGCATAGCCTTTCCCAAACAAGCATTGTTACGAAAGCCAGCCTTCGTAGAAGGCGCTAGCGGAGTTGTGTTTGGCGAACGAAGTGAGTAGTTAGGGGGTCTGGGGGGGGTGGCCCGGGAAAGGTACACGTAAACTCGGCACATGCTGGGGGAGGAGGGTGCGTCGAGGGAAGGTTTTTTGAGGTTGTGTTGGAGGTGATTTTTGAGGGGTGGTGATGCAAGAAATGCAATCTGCATCATTTGCATCATCTGAATGGAAAGGTGTAGTTGGCACCTTGCCAGGTATAGAGCCCCAGGGTAGCTATAGTGCAGCTACCAGGTATAGTACTTCAAGTTCCCTTTCCGTCAACCGCTCGATAACCTCTACACACGCACAGCAATCCACAGCTTTGAAGTCTCATTCGTGCTTTGAACTTGTATAGGTGTGTAAGAGGTATAGCAACATAGTATTTATTCGGACCCAGGGTAGCTACAATTCTGTTCCCAGGTATGGCGCGCATGA